TTTTTCTATATAATTTCATTTTATTATTTATTCAATTTTTGACCTTTTTATATTCAATGACTTTTATCTTTGATTTTTATTATTTTTTACCTGTTTGGATGGGATGGGATGGCATGCATGGGATGGGATTGGGATGGGATGGCATGGCATGGCAATGGCATGGATAGGATGGGATGCGGATGCGGTGCGATGGGATGGGAAAAAAAAAAAAAGAATTGCGGGATGGCATGGCATGGCATGGCATCGGATGCGAGGATGGGATAATATGCGGATGGGCATGGGATATTGGATGGATGGGATTGCGTGCGCATGGGATGCGATGGGAATGCGATGGAATGCGATGGATGGATGGATGCATGATGGATGCATTGATAGATAGATAGTTGCTCGATTTTCTTTGGTTACTTTTCGCTTTAACCAAGCGGTCACCAACTGAGTAACGCCCATGATTTTCCCTGAGGCAACGGCCGGCGTATCCCGCTAGTATATATATAATATGCGTGAGCACGGCCGCTCCCGCGACGCGCAGCGCCCGGCTTCAGGTTCACGCCAACATACGTACTGTTACAGGTGTGCTGTGTGACCGTACGTACCTGTTAGAGGTGTGTGTGTGTTGACTTACGTACCTGTTACAGGTTGGGTTGTGTGTGTGGAACGCTACGTAACCTGTTACAGGTGTGTGTTGCTGACGTACGTACGTTACAGGTGATCCGATGGCGATCCGAGCGGCGGCCGGTCACTCTCGTCCACTTGAGCACGCGCCCACGCGGCGCGCAGGCCCGGCCTTCAGGTTGACGCGCAATGATCTTTGCGTGTTGATAACTCGTTCCAGTACAGGTCCATGTGTTCGTCAGCGTACGCCAGCCGCCCTCCGGACGACCCTGGTCTGCAAACCAAATGCCACACAAGACATCAGTCGATCCCCGAAGAGAAGAAGGGAAGAAGGAAAGAAGGGAAGGGGGTAGGTAGATGTATATGTATGCCGATAGAATTTCGGAGAGATTTTTTACGAGGTCCATGTGTTCATCAGCGTACGCCAGCCCCTCCAGACGACCCAGGTCTGCAAACCAAACGCCACGTGAGACATCAATCATTTCCCAAAGAAAAGATGGGAGGAAGGAAAGAGTGGTTTGGAACATGTATATGTATGCGATATATTTTCTGAGAGATTCTTTATGAGGTCCACGTGTTCGTCTGCATACGCAAGACCCTCGGACGGCCCTGGTCTACAAACCAAAACGGCGTCAGTCGATACCCGAAGAAAAGAAGGAGAGGAAGGGCGAGTTGTGTACACGTACGCAAAAAGATTTTCTTGTGGGGATTTCTGGGGAATTTCGCACAACGTACTATTTTGCATCCATCGACAAAGACATTCTGGGAATGGGGGGAGGGGCACGCCGAAAGATTTCGCTGGCCGACAAAAATAGAAGGGCGAAGATGGACTTTTACTTAGAGTAACTTAGAAAAAAACATAGAGTACTTATAATTAAGGAGATTTTACTAATCTTACTTATTATTAAATTAACGATATTAGTTAATTAATCATACTTGGCTCAATGATCGTGCAGCTGCTGCCATCGAACCTGGCGCTCAGGATGTTTCCGACTAAAGGTGGACTAATTAAGATGTAATTAAGATAATTAAGGAGATCTTACTAATCTTAATTAATGAGATTAGATTAGTAATAAAGATGGACTAATTAAACTACATCTTACTCGGCGCGATTAATCGTGCGATCGGTGCCGCTCGAACCCGACGCTCTGTATGTTTCCGAGCTTGATGTCGGCTGTAAAACAAGCGGCGGTGGCAAAGTCGAACGCGACCGCGATAACATTCTTCATGTACGTCTCGTTGCGTATCGCAGCCACGGACTGTTCTTGTTCGCGGCGTCGAAGATGTTGATGCTCTCGATGCGGTCGCCCCCGAGTAAACAATGAACGCGTCGTACGCTGCAATGATAAACAACGATAGTAAACAATAACAACAATGATAAACAATGATAACAAACAATAACAAACAATAAACAAAACAAATGACGACTGTAGAGTAGATGTTAAACGTGTTGGACGCTGCAACGAGAAACAATAATGATAAACAATAACAACAAACAATAACACAACAATAGTAAACAATAAGACAGAGACGATAAACAACAACAATAAAACAAAAAATTACCAGCTGTAAAGAAAACGATAAATGCGGCGCACGCTGCAGCAACACACAACAATAAACAATAATAGTAAACAACCACAACCGAGGATAAACAACAACGACGATACAGAATAATGGTATCGCACACTGACAAAAAGGACAAAAACTGACTAAATACAAGCTAGAGCTATAGAGTAGATGACGAACGCATCGTAACGCTTGCATCAACAAACAATAAAATAATACAGTAAACAACAACAACAATAGATACGTACGTTCGCAGGACTTGCGTCGGTGGCGATGCCGTCCGTGTGAGCACGCCGCAGTGAGGAGTCTCCTGTGCCCACGTGGAAACACAGCTCCTGACATCCACCGTTGCCCGCCTTAGCCGGACACACGTTCGTTCCATACGACGACGACGCAAAAAAACACAAGAGCAGACGTTATCACTGACGCGGAGTGGACAGTTCCGGGGTGCTAATATTTTACTATTAAAATTTCATTGAAATTGATTTACGACAGATTTCATTTTTTCGGTCATACATCAATCGGTCTGTTAGTCATCCAAGCATGTTTACATGTTATGAGGTACACGATATTACAAGTATAAGTAGTAAGTAATAGAATATAATACAATGAGAGCAGACGCCATTACGCCGGCTGTCGCGCGAATATGCGTTTCCATTACGCTATCATTTCGTTATGAAAATTTTATTGTAAATTCGGTTATGCATTTGATCTGAATTCATTCATGACAGATTTCATTATTCTTCGGGGCTCCATCGAAGCATACATGTGACGAGGTACATGTTTACCTGTACAATGTATAGACATGTTTAATGCGTTACCTGTCACTCTGCAGACTCTTGTCGAACACCTGAATGTCTTTCGCGCGCACACACACACGCACGCACGCACGCACGCAAACACGCAACACACACACAACACACACGCACGCACGCACGCACGCACGCACGCACGCACGCACGCACGCACGCACGCACACACACACACACACACATACACACACACCCACGCACGCACTCATATATGTGATATAACATGTGTACCTGCTTACATTGTTTACGTCATTACCTGTCTGCAAACTCTTGTCAAACACCTGTATTGTCCTTGACGGTGGTGCTCATGTCTTACGCAGATCACGATGTCCGACTCATTGTTCTTGTCTATGCCGTCGTATGAGCCACCGTCGACAACCCTACATCAGAGATGCCAACACATATTTGAAGCAATCTGTAGTTTCTGGCCATCAAATTGGTAGTCGAGGGTCACGTTAGTGACCTGAGTTTGCTAGGGGGTTCCGGCTATCCCCCCAAAAAAAATTTTTGATTCTGAGATGTAATTTCCTGCATTCTGAGTGTCCAAAAATGACAATAAATTGACAAAAATGACAATAATTGACAACAACAACAAAAAATTCGATCACAGTGAAATTCGTAGTTTGATACAAACTGGTCATAGTCGCGTGCAAAAGAATAGAAATTCGTATAAAAATACGGATAAATCGTAGTGGTTGGAATCTCTGCTACAATCATCCGACTAATTACTTAATTACTAACAACGACACAAGAGCCAGCCTCTCTTACGCTGTCGCACTAATTATTACACTACATTGTCTAACAAGATAACTTAGATACTAACAAATACAAAAATCATCCTCCTATCACTGTCACCAAAATATTGCCCTACATCGTCCAACAGCAATAATTACTATAGCTGTCACTCTCTCTACTGTGGTCATATTATAGGAAAAGTACTAGACTCATTCATTATGACGATTTATCGATTGATTGACAGGGGATACAATTTGATATCTGTGTGACGAGTGTGACAACTACATTGACATTTCCACGACCCGCTAGTGACAGTGAGACGTCACCACCGGACACTCACCAGTCGACCCAGTACAGGTATCGGCGAACACGGTCAAGGTCACAGGGTCACCGTTTCTCGCTCTCGATGATGATCACGTGACCGCTGCATCGAATCGAATCTTCTCGACCGTATTGCGCCGCATGTCGCACCAGTAGAGCATCTGCATGTAATTAATTAACGAAGTCAGTTAATTATTACACGCTATATTACTTTTTAATTAGCAATATTTATTATCATGTTAGTACTTGCTTTACGATCATTACGATTATAATAACCATATATTATAATTACAATAATTATATATTATCATTATATTAAAATCATACAATGTTATTATAATATAATTAATAATTACTAACAATTCATTAAAGTATTTAGAAAACATAAAAGACGTAACGTCAGGTTTACTCGCCATGTTTGCGCTTCCTATCACCGGCCGATGACTATATGGGCAGTTTGCCATGTTTGCGCTTCCTATCACTCGGGCGATGACTATGGGCCAGTTTGCACATTACAGCCTCGGGGACCCTCCCTTCTCTGTCTTCCCCCACCCCCTGCCTACGCTACCCGCTCTCTACTGCTTACGCTACCGCTACTGTAATCCGTACCACTACCCCTACCGCTACTGCCTACTGTAACCACTACCGCTACCGTACCGCTACCGCTACCGCTACACTACTGCTACCTCTAATGCTGCTGCTACCCTACCGCTACCACTGCCACGGACTGCTCTACCACTACACTACCGCTACCGCTACAGCCCGCGCGAGCGATGCGCGAAACACCGACCTGCTCGTCGTAGTCAGATGCAAGGTGCGGATGAAGCGGCCATCTTGGTACGTGCTGTTGACCGATGGTGGCGCGCTCGTGCCGTCGAGCCGCGCTGCGCTCGATCAGCTGACCCTCCTCCGCCGTCCAGAACAGGTAGCTGCCGGAAACGAAACACAAGAACAGCGTCATCCATCCGAATCAAGTCCACATCCTTATATTTTTCCAATATATACATATATTTTTTATATATAAAGGCGAAACATAGCGGATATACCAGGATTTTCTATAGCCTTAGTAAAATGACAACTCAAAATCTCACGACTTCCCTGATGTGTTTCCAGAGAGAGGGGTGGACAAACGGACGTTCAACTTTCCAGGGACTCACAAGAATGCACTCTTAATATATATATATATATATATATATATATATATATTATATATATATATATACCAGTAGCACATTATACATACCAGGATGTTTTAGGACCGTAACATAGCCTAGTATTACCAGAATTTTCTATAGCTAGTAAAAGGACGATTTCAGATCCACGGTCTTTCCTGGGGGGCGTACGTACCTGCGACGGCGGTGCAGGGTGATGCTGCGAGGCTGTCTCAGATCAGACGCAGCACATTATACATACCAGGATTGTTACGGGGGGACGGACGCCCGTGCGTACGTACCCTGCCGCGGGGTGCAGGGCGATGCTGCGAGGCTACCTCAGATCAGACAGCAGCACATATACATACCAGGATGTTACGGGGGACAGCCACGCGCGTACGTACCCTGCGACGAGGGTGCAGGGCGATGCTGCGAGGCTGTCTCAGATCGGACAGCACGACGTATCGCGACGATCCGTTGAGCCTGCCACACCTCGATCAGACCCAGGTCACGATCGTCCAGTAGACGTGTTCTGCAGAAGCCACCAACAAAATATCAGACCAGCGGTACGCGAGTACGTACGCACACTCGCAACACGCACACGCGCACACACACTCAATACCGTACTCACAAAACCGTATGATAATAATATCCATAATAGTTAAAATACTAATAATAATATCCATAATTAGTAATAATATTAATAATAATATCATAACATACTAAAATCACATAAGTAATGCAATGTAAAAAAAACGCTGATTAATATTTTTTTTAAACGTAATTAACTAACTCACATCAGAAATAAATACCTTTTCAACATTAACCCCCCCCTCTTAAAATGTCTACACGGCTTATAACGCCAACACCACCAACCGTAAAACCTACGTGTGACCGTAACTGCAGCTGTAACTGCAACTATTACCGTAACCTAACCACCAACACCAAACCTCTCCCTCCCTGGCGAAGCAACCCCCCACCGTAACTGCAGCTGTAACTGCAACTATTACCGTAACCTAACCACCAACACCAAACCACTCCCTCCCTGGCGAAGCAAAAAACCCGAACGCTCAACAACAGACACAGAGAGCGTCCTCACCGGCTATCCAGTCGACGGCGATGCGAGCACGGCCCGACGCCCTCGCTGACGATGTCCTCGCCGCGAGTCAGGTCGCGGCGGATGCGCGAGATCGAGCGGTCGTCGTGTCGCCCCAGAAGATGTAGTCGACACTAGATGCGCGGATCGCGGGGAAAAGCAACGAAGGCGAAATGCCTGAGACCACATCGCAAGCACGCGCAAGACGCCGCCGCCACCGCGAGACCACCAGACCGCTGTGCGCGAGGGAAACACTATATACAAGTGGCCATAATATAGAGGTGCACGTGGTTAATATAGGTGAAACGCTGAGACCACGGCGCACACCGCGCGCGCGAGACGCCGCCGCCACGAGCGAGCACACGCCAGACCGCTGTGCGCGCGCGAGGGAAACACTATGTACAGGTGGCCATAATATAGAGGTGCATGTGGTTAATATAGGTGAAACGCTGAGACCACGGCGCACGCGCGCGAGAGATGGTGCGAGTGCGCATATACCGACAGACCGCTGTGCGCTAGGAGAATGCTAAGTGTCCCTTATGAAGAGGTGGCCATAATATTATATAGAGGTGCGGGCAGTTAATATAGGGGAACGCCGAGACCGCACGCGTGCGCATTCCGTCAGACCGCTGTGCAACCGAGGGGAACACTAAGTGTCCTTTATGGAGATGTGGCCATAATGTTGAGGTGCGGGAGAGAGGCGAGAGAGAGAGAGAGACGCCGCGAGCGCGTGCATACCGTCAGAGCGCTGTGTAACCGGGTGGTCGCACTGAGGGGAACAGCAGACATTCTTTATAGAGAATGGCCTTTATACAGAGGTATGCGTGGTGTCACCGACACTAGAAAACCCCCTAAAGTGTCCTTAATAGGCAGGTGGCAGTTTTACAGAGGTGGTTACACCATGTAACTGCTACTCAAGGAAAACCCCACTCTTTTACAAATTGGTGGCCATTCTTCAGATGATTTCACTCTATAAATACTATGGAAAAACTCCAAACGTGTTCTTTATAGACATTTATAGTCCCATTCTTGAGAGGTGGTTTCACCACATAACTGCCAATCAAGGGAACCCCCGAAGATGTCCTTTACAGACAGGTGGCCGTTCTTTAGAGGTGTCTGCAAGCAAACACTGGTTTGACGGTATACGCGCGCTCGCGACGTCTGCAAGTATAAAGCTACCATTAAAAGATCAGGTTAAAACCCATATACGCCTGATTCAGGGGTCATTAATGTAAGGCCCTTTTAATTACTAACACCGCATCTAACACGCAGTAAATTTATCGCCAGCACCCGTCTCTTATAGTACATATGATTCAAACAGTTGGGTTCTTAACGAATTAAACTGTGAAAATTAACGTCTAAATTAAAATTTAGTCTGAAAGTAACTATCGCTGCGGACAATAAGAAACAACTTATCGGCGTATTCGTCCATCTCCCCTCACACCTGGCTACAGGCCTACGCGCACAATGCAACCATCTGAACGGAAGTTCATGAATTCGAGATTCATGTACTGCTGATCTGAACTACAGGGAGTTGCGGGTTATGAACATTACTAGTCGAAAGAAAAATTTGCACGTCACATGATCGTTCGGAACTACGTACTCAAGTGAAAGAGGTGCGGTTTGATTCATATGCGTACAGGTTGCGGTTCATTGATGTTATATTAAATATATTTTAATATATACTTCTTATATATTAAAATATATTATACATAAGTTGCCGTATGTGTTAAAATACACTATGAGAAACGTTCATGTTCGAAAGTTGATAACTTAGTTGTTTGTAACTGTTTGTAACTGGAGAACACCATGTACATTCACTATACCAAATATCACTACTTTGTAGTCGTAATACATGTTCAATTGTACACAGGAATACGTGCAATTATACACTAAGGAAACTAAACACAAAGAAACAATCTAAAGTGCTACATGTTAGTATTGTACAAAGACTTGCACTTAATTTGCATATTGTTCACTAGAACATATGCATTAGAATCAAGTCCCCATCACATTTTACACGTGTTAGTAGTTTTAGTCAACAACAAAACACACTCAGACAAAACTTGGCAATGTTACCTTAAAATGTTAGCCACACATAGCTACCCAGTTACAGTTTTAACCCTAGCCTTGAAACCAATATTATTTCAATTGCCAGCCACAAACATGCACGTCTCTTTTTGCGTTTGAATCTCGCTTGTTGCATTACAGGCGAAATTACGATTACCATGAATGGCACCATACCAGACGAGGACAAAGGTTAAGAGACTGTGCCTGAAGCACATATAAGATCCTCGCATAATTCCTTAATAAACTTTTATCCGTCTCCAAACCCAAAAAGGGGTTGGTGATACAGAGGTGCAGACATCACCGGATCACACAGACCTTTCTACCAGGAATGCCAAAAGATGTGACATTATGGTTTCCTTCATAAACTGGTTCGACAGGCAAACGAACATAATTCAACCATTTATAATTAATATATATTATAATATAATGTAAATTATAAATATATAATGAATATCATTCCCTTTATAACAAAAACCTGATTTGACGACAATGGTCATTGACTTCTTTACACGTCTAAATGCAAGATTTCGTTTATGAGTAAATTTATAAAATAATAATTAACCACATTAGATCTTCACTTCAGATTTAATATTCAGGGGATTTCTGATTCCCAACTCAGAGACGGCCAAATCATCTTACAGATCATTCACTGAGCTCCGAAAAAACAGTCACGGTTTGAAATCTGACAGAAAGGTCAGTCGGGATCGAGTTTCGGATGAACACGGGACAGTGTGAACGGATGTGTGTCGACTGTGCAGGTGGCATCGTGTGGTCTGATTGCATGATCTACCTGAGGTGGGGTGAGGACGTGTATTGAGGATAGGGGAAGTGAATGTTCAGTATGCATGTTAACTCGTACGCAATGTAGCTTTCAGTCGAGGACTATATAGTACCATCTATATAATACTTTATAGTAGTATCTATCGGTACTATATTAGGGAGTGTCAGGAACGTCTATAGCTGACGTAGCATGCTGCCTTCACTGGAAGGACGACACGCCTATAGGGGGCGCTGTGCTGTGATCCTGCACCACTGCAGGACAGCGCGCCTATAGACATCAACACGCTGCGACGTTTGCGGACAGATGGCGCCGCGCGGTGTCCCTGCACCGGCGGAACGGCGCGTTGTTCAGACCAAATGCCAATAGCTAGAATAGGTAAAGGCTGGGTACTCACCGACGGACATCTGGAACAGCGGGTTGTGATCAACTAGCCGCGACAGCCCCTCTTCACACAGAAAAACAATACACAACTCTCAGAGAGCATGCCAAACAGTCAGAAGTCTTATCTATCACTACTTAATTATTACTATTATAAAGTTTATCTACTTTGGCAAAACTTTGCCCGACAGTAGCATCCCACAATGCACGTTACATGAGAACTACCTATACAAGGTACAAGTTGTACTCACCTGCCGTGTAATGTCATTATTTCGGATATTTTGTCGGAAATACTCTACACACACTTGCCACACATCTATGAATTAGTTTATCACGCAGTGCAACTATGCATGTGTGACATTAAATACTAGCTTAGAACATATTAAGTTCAATGATTCACATAAGTTTTGACACTCTACATTCTCTACCCCTTTAATAGTGGTACTTTGGATACTAGAACTAATAATATTTTAATATAATAAGGTTCCATATTTTGATAGAAATGAGTTGCCATTTTTTTCGAGTGAAGTAACGGTAACCGCCCACCAGGGGAGGCACCACCTGTAGATTTTCTGAATGCTGACAGAATGGCCACCCCTACTGGTCGGCTCTGGTTTAACCCATCTGGCTGGCTCGCATTACAACACAAACAACACATCTCTTATTAAGTATATACGTGTGAACCCCTATGATAACCCTTAATTTATTTATTAGCTAGAGATGCAGAAATATCAGTTTTGCTAGCGCTAATCCTCTTTTGCCTAACCACACAGCATCCCAAGTAATAAATAAATTTGATTTGTTAAAACATGTTCGTCTGATAACGTGTGAAAACCCATGGCATTAACGCTCCATGGCTCTGAGTTAATGTAATGCACTCCCACAACATGGCCTAGAATAACTCCGACAAAATGCTCAGTCAAACTTTGTTACAATACACTACAAAGCCATTCACTGCCACAGCAACTGGCACTAAACCAAGCTGCTATTACTATAAATATGTATTATTGCAAACGTTTCTACAAAGACCAGTCTTTTCTATATAGCTTCCAACCAGTGAATGAGCCAACCATTACAATAACGTTTGACAAGAGAGGCTTATATGCGGATCAAACCACAATTGCAAACCCAATAACTAGTGTACACGGACGCGTGCATTCACAGATGTGGCGTATTTCCACCAGTAAGCAGAATAGCGATACAATCACAATAGCAGCAAAAGCGCACCACCAACAGTTTGCGCAGCTCTCCCTCACCATGACAGTGACATGACTTTCTTCCTTATCAGGATTAATGCAATTATTAAAAATATAAAAAATTCAAATATTTAAAAAAACTATAATTTTGTAAACCACTTTAAAGGGATCCTTTACTCTAGGTTCTAGGATTATTTTCAGTTAATTTAGATTAAAATCACGCTACATAAAAAGTTTCATGGTTCAATCACCATTGGAAAGATTTTTTTTTAATGTTTTAAAACTAACGACTACAGTTCGATTACAACGACGGTGGCGCCACTCAAAGCCCACAATCTGAAAAGTTGCGCAAAACGACTTTTCAGCCTAGGTGAAACACAGGAACTACAGACCAAGGGTGTTTCTTATTTATTAATTTAAAAGCAAAAGGATTGTAATATCTTATAAACAACATAGTTACAGTTATATTATGGATAAATTTGTCCTAAAATAAACATCGTTCGGTTAAATAGCATTTAGGTATAAATATAATTGCACCTTTGTGATTAGCCCTCGGTCTGTAACGTGCAAAATATATTGGGAAATGCACAACTTTTTCAGGGTGGCAGCACGGTCGCGGGTGTCAATGGCACCATTCAAATTTCGTAGCGTTGATGTATAATTAATTATAACAATTAAATTAGATATCTGGTAACAAGTACGTGTGGGTATAGACAATTTGTTATACAGTAAGTACAGTTGTATGCAGAAAAATCCTAGAGTCTAGTATCCCTTTAACAAACTTCGTAAAAGATGGAGAGGGGTTATAAATAATATAATAATACTTTCAATATTACTCAGTTATATCATTGAAACTGAAGAATTTTGAAGAAAAAAGTCCAAATATTTGATTCAGATATCAAACGAAAATGAACCTCACTGACGAGTATTCATTTAAAGGTTACTTTTACAGAGCTACAGCTTTGTTAAGTGATTACACACTAAATGATAATAAGCTGTTACTGACACACATTTGCAAATACATTGTTTTTTATACACCTACCAATCTCTACCAAATAATATAAAAAGGATGCCCAGTGTTAGGTTGGCCCAAAAACTTGTCAATTTATCATAACCGATCCTGATTTTCTTCTCATTTTCGCACAAAATTATTTTCAATTTGATCAAACATTGCCCACTCTCCTACTCAAAGTGTCTAGAATGACAACTTCGAAAGTTATAGCCCAGAATATTATCACACATGCCCATCGACCATCCGATCGATCGGCAGGATTTACCTAGCTGTCCATTTGTCAGATAAATACAATTCTCTATTAATGAAAGGTTTTGTTATTTCCTTACTGATCCTCTCAAATCTGATAGCGTGAGTTATGGCAAACAGCAATTTTTTGGACCAGCCTTTGTGTTGTCGCATTTTGGATTGTGGTTCCAATGCATCCTGTAGACCAACTGGGTGCTGACAGGGATTTTGGAAATGTAGATGATGGTGTTACCTGTGATAAGGTGAAGTCGTGCTCTGGGTTTTGATTCCAATATGTCCTGTAGACCAACTGGGTGCTGACAGGGATTTTGGAAATGTAAATGTTAGCATTACCTGTGATAAGGTGAAGTCGTGCTCTGAGTTTTGATTCCAATACGTCCTGTAGACCAACTGGGTGCTGACAGGGATTTTGGAAACGTAAATGTTAGCGTTACCTGTGTCGAAGTGAAGTCGTGCTCTGGGTTTTGATTCCAATACGTCCTGCAGCCCTTCTGGGTGCTGACAGGGATTTTGGAAAGACAGAACTCGAGTTTATCTGTACTGTGTAAGTGTGTGGACTCTATTGGATTGGGATCTTTAGATTCCAGCAAGTAGTAATGCAGACCCTGTTTATGTACTGGGTGCTGGTAATCATTTGACACATGAATTTATGTGAAAATGGTCTTACTGGCCTGATTTACTGCTAATCCCAAATTTCCTGTAGACCTACTGGGTGCTGATAGGGATTTTTGGAAAGCAGACAAGCCAGAGCCCACCATTTATCACCAATACAACAGATTTTACTGCTTCTTAAAATGCATGTTGTAAATTAGAATGAATATCGTGGCAGCACAAGATATAGCAGATATTTTATGATTAGTATGAACTATATGCTAAACAAATCAGTTAGTAATAATTTATTTATTGCGTGAATTTATTGTGTGTGCATGTTGTCTGGTATGTTAAGTTCTGAGATATTTACAAGATAAATTTGGATTTAGTAAAATAAATGACCGATACTACACATCACGGTTACTTTTAGTTGCAAATATTTCTGCTAAATGTTGCTCTATCATACACAACCATATCTGTTAGCACTAGTTTGCATTAGCATATAATATAAACAAGTAGGCAAATCGCCATGTTAAAATACAAGTACGAATTAGTTATGAAAATGATTAAATGCGAATGGTACCGAACATAACACAGACATGCTAAATTAAGCTGACATGTTTCCAAGAGATGAGGGGATAAAAGCTTGTATAAAAACATCAGCTCCAAAAAAGAACATGCATTACACTATAACTATATATGTCCTGCCCCACCAACGAATACATCCATACATGCACTAATAGAAAAAAAAGAACAAAATATAATACTCTAAATGAAATTAAACGGGCAGCTGGGATGGAGAAAATATGTAGTAAGCATAGTATGAGCTACAAAGGTTCTTTGCCATTGTAGCTACTCTACGTTGCATGTCCTGATAGTAATTGATAGTGGTAACTAAGTAACTAAGACCACAAAGACAGGGGTCTTGACCACAAAGATGCAAAGCAATGTGTCTCTACTGTCACTCACACAAACGGCATAATGCACAAATGCCTACACTAAGGTGTAAACTACCCTGCTATTCTAGTGCACAAAGACACTCCTCCAACGCACACATATATATACTAATTACACGTCAACTATAAATTACTATTATATACACACTAGTCACAACAACAAAGGGGTAATGTAATACAACAGCTGCGGCATTACATCTCTTACGCGTACGTGTGGACCCAACCCTTTGCAGGACGTTTCAATAAAGCAGCAGACAAAATAAGTGGTGGTGGGAGTGTTACACCATGGGCAGTGTATGGGTGGATGTAGTGATAATTGTAGTAGTACAGTACACAATCTATTATCCGAAATTCTGAAAACCGAAAAAGCTCCGAAAACCGAAAGTTTTTTCGTGGAGGTCGTCTGCACACCAAAGCTTGCGTTTGGCTGCACAAGGTTCACTGCAGAAATATTAATGTGTTTAGCATTACTCATACATATTGTACTGTACCGTACAGCACTTGGCCTCTTGAAAACTTGGGCTTTACTACCGGCTAGTTGCAGGATATACGCTATGTATATCTGTACTATACTGCCATTACGAAATCCGAAAAATTCCGAATTACGAAACGCATCTGTTCCCAAGGGTTTCGGATAAGAGATTGTGTACTGTAGTAACAAGGGTGCACCGCAGCAAAGTCACGAGAGCATTCACAGCGTAATTTCACGTATATAAACGCAAACACAGAGACACTCACCAGCGTGGAAGTCGACGACGGGAACGTCGGTGACGCCCGATATCGGCGCGAGGGCCTCCAGCGTCGTGTCGTTGGGGTCGAGCGAGATTCCCGCTATCTCGTTGCTCATCGAATACATGAGGAACGACTCGATGCCTGCATGTGTGGCGAGAGAAGAGAGAGGGGGAAGAGAGAAAAACAAGTGATGTGTTAGAACGACGATGCGGTGGCGTAGCACGGTGTACATCACACCCCTGTTGTAAACGTCTCCCCGTCTACATTGCACATTGGCGTTTCTATCTGGATATAGAGAAACACTGGTGTTTCTAGCTGGGTATGGAGAAACATTGGTGTTTCTAGCTGGGTATGGAGAAACATTGGTGTTTCTAGCTGGGTATGGATAAACATTGGTGTTTCTAGCTGGGTATGGAGAAACATTGGTGTTTCTAGCTGGGTATGTAGAAACACTGATCTTTCTAGCTGGGTATGTCGAAACATTGGTCTTTCTAGCACAGCGCATGGGCACCATGGGGATTTGACCGTTATTGCTCGCGTGCAATGTAGAGGGGGGGTCGTTTGTTATAGGGGGGACATATATCGCGATAACAGTGGTTCCGTCTAGCGACTACAACCCCGTACATTAGCGATACCCGTGCGCCCTGGCCTGGGCCCATAAACTCGTAGATAATTCTTCCTGCCCTATATACACCTACCCCTTAGCTCTTAGCACCCCCTCAGTGGTTCTCAACCTTTTTTGAGTCATGGGCCCCTTTGAGAATCTGCTGAAAGCTACGGACCCCTCCCCCCCCCCCAAAAAAATGCACATAAGCACAAAGTTAATAACCCCTGCACTAGGTGATCCCACAACCCCCCAGGGGGCGCTACGGCACACATTGGGAACAACTGGTCTACAGAACATATGCGTAAGACAGTCCGTCCACGTCTCTGTAGGATCAATGCTAGACTGGTTCCATCCCCGTAACGTCCGGTCGTGCATGCGTGATGGCCGGGTATTAAGGGACGGGGAACCAGTCTAGACAGAAACGCCGAGAGAGAGGGGATAGAGCAGCAGCAGTTACTGACTACGCGACATAAATAAACACACAGAAAAAAGGTGACAGACCAACAGCAAGAAAGCAGGGATAGCAGCACAGAGCAGAAATGCGACACGCTCGGTCTCGGGAATTTGCTACTCCTAGGATGACAATTGCCTATTTGCCCATGGTACCTACGAACCTAGGTACATATACCTACCCTATATGTACCTAGGTACCTGCGAAACGCAGCTCCTTTTCTGCGTGGTTCGGTGGGAAAAAAAAGCTGCAAACCTTCGAATTACATTCGAATCGTTAAGAGTTACGTGGGCCTATAATGCCTGGCTAGGTGGGTAGCACATGCTGTCAGTAGTTCACACACAAAAAACACCTATGAACACCTAAAAAACACCTACTTGTTCTCTCTCTCTCTCTCTCTCTCTCTCTCTCTCTCTCTCTTCTCATCTCTCTCTCGATCGCTATTCTCTCTATACGCTTTCGCTCTCGCTTCGCTCTCGCTCTCGCTTCTCGCTCTCGCTCTCGACCCGCTCCCGCTCCCTCTTCTCTTTCTCTCTTCTCTCTCTCTCTCTCTCTCTCTCTCTCTCTCTCTTCTCTCATATATATATATATATATATAAATATATATATATATATATATCTCCCCTCTCGCATCTCTCTCTCTTCTCTTCTTCTCACCTCTAACTCTCACTTTGTTCCTCACCCCCCCCCCCGCCCCCCTCTCTCTCCCTTCTCTCTCTCTCTCTCTCTTCTCTCTCTCTCTTCTCTCTCTCTCTCTCTCTCTCTCTCTCCTCTCGCACTCTCTCTCTCTCATTCTCTCCCTCTATCACTCTCTCTCATCCCCTCTCTCTCTCTCTCTCTCTATATATATATATAAACAAGCCTATCTATGTGCTACAATCGACTCGCACTGTCGGTTTCGAGTTAACGAGAAAGCCTATGTTACGCTCGCCGGCAGAATGTGCCTTCATGATGCTCTGTTACCACTATCGCTGGGGAGGGAGAGGTGGTCCACCACTCAGAGACCGACACCAACGAGCGAGAAACGAAAGAAATACACCTAAGCGGCTACATACTCGGCCCACACTAGCACCAAAGGTTGCGGCCGAGCAGAGAAAAGACAGTAAAGTAACAGTCAGGTAGCATAAAAGAATTGTACGCGACACTGATATCACGCGAACGATGCTCCTAGACACGATTCTATAGGGAAGCATCCCAAAATTCATTTTTTGTTACTTTTATGTTTACAGTTAACCTCTATTGCCTACAGATTGAATAAGCAATAGATATATTCATACAACGCAATGTTAAAACTCAGAGATCAAGAATTTAAAAAGGGATCTCAAGTATAATCAAAAATAGTGAATTGTTACGATCGAAGTCTAATGAAAAGTAAATTTTGTCCCCTTTTTTTTACAGAATAGTGACTTAACTTAATGAATTTGTTAACGGGATACATGACTTTACTGTAGCTAATCCATCTAAAGAGGTGAACCAAACCAGTTCCTGCTTACTACCACTCAACCTGGAGCATCGGCGAATACGTTAAATCGATAATACGTTAGATCGTTAATACGTCGCAAAACGGAACCATAAACGGTTAGACGACATGAAACATGATCTAGCACTACCAAACAAAATACACATGCAACTATCAAAAACACGTCGCTAGCACCGTGAAAACTATGCAACACGTTCTCATGCATGCGTTTCTGTTAGTCTGTGCCCACGACTCACTAGCAAAATGGCATTTAAAATTTGTTTACATTTATTTTACACTACTTTTTTGTTTTTCATTCATTACCACCGTAATGCAGAATGTTTTTATTATTTTCTATTTTTAAGTCGTTGTTTTTTATTGATTTTTTTTTATTACACTGTTATATCATTACCACTGTTATGGTGATAAATGTGACAAATAATTCTAGATGACAAATAAAAATGTTGCGAGTGCCTTGCGAAAACAACGCCGTCCTGCACGGCGAAACAACAGAACGTCGTTGTTCGAACGACGATATTTTTCGACAGTGCTCGAGACAACAATGTATTGAACACCTGCAAAGAACATCGACGTTCCACTACCCTTCGAACTGCGAACGTTTGCTTCTCGCACCGTTCTTAACGACTCGATGAAGTTAACGCCGATGAATATCCATCGGAACGTTGGGCACAGACAATGAACATCCTAGGAACTGTTTGTTGTTCGGAACGGATCGACATGATCCGGATCACTCGACCACGATTTGTCCACACAAATGTGAACGCGCTTCCCACGGCAGAGTTCTTCCCAGGCTCATAACGCATGTAGGGTACGGCGTGTCTTTAAAGCTGAAGCCGATTCAAGACTTCTCATAAATTCTCCGACGTGAATTAACTTCCCATTAACGGTTAACTTATTATTAATACCCTTACTGAGTTTTTCCAGTTGTGTATAATTTTGACAATCCCAACTCTGTTTTCGCAGCTTGACCTACACGCCTTCGAACCGAGCGACATTACCTGCGTATTGAGTAGGACTGTAACGATACACTCGCGTATTCGGTGCACCGAATATTGTTGTTGGACGATACGTATTCGTTATTCGCGTCATCATTATTCGAATACAGACGAAATACAAACTAGAAACGAGCAGTTGTCGCCAACTACATGTATTGGTTTGTTAGACAACTGGTCTGCCTCAGATGTGCAAGTATATGGAATACTCACAGGGGGGAGGGTATGGGTGCAGTGGTGCGTTATGGTAAAGCGAAGACGCCAATCGTTTTTGGTGTGGGCGGAGTCATCATACATGGTAAGAACATTTTTGTGGAAATATTGTAGAACCTGTAACTTGTGCTTTTTTTACCCGATTGTCATGGAATTTGGCACACATGGCCGATATAACATGTCCTATATATATATGTCACACACACACACACAACATTACACATTTACAGCATAAACAAGTCAGTATTCGTATTCGTGAAATATTCGTATTCGCACACATATATCGTGATACGTATCGTATTCGTGACCTAGCGTATTCGTTACAGCCCTAGTATTGAGGCTACCTTTACCTGCGCAATGAGGCCACTTATGACACGCATAATCGACTCCGATTAACAATCGAAGACGAAATTTCCCGATTGCGCCATGAATCCGCCGCAAAATCAAGGATCGCCGACCCGCTCCGAAACAAACGAACAGCTACACATCCCGCAGCGCTCTCTCAGCGCAAGCGACGTTGCTATAATCAATACGATCAATCAATACGATCAATCATTGATCTCGATATGTAATCGATCGCGGTAGCTGTGCTGGTACCCGTGCATGCTTGCTGTTTGTTGAGTGTAAAACCTGCGGTGCACTTGCACACGTGTTGCCCGCGCGCCGTCGGCAGGCACAGCTGCGTGCAGTTGCCGTTGTTCGGCGCGCAGCTGTTTTCCACCATCCCTGCAACGGACGAGAGAGAAAGAATTAGCGATAAACAAGAGAGCGTGCGTTAGAAGCGGCGGGGCACAGAAATGTTGTCAGGCTTGGACCTGCTTGAATTTCGAAGTTTTGCAAAAACTGTATATTATGTAATTATATAATTACGTAATATATATTATTGTATTTATGTAATTAATATTGAATTATTATTACTCAATATATATATTTATATATATATATAGAGAGAGAGAGAGAGAACGATAAACAAGAGAGCGCGCGTTAGACACGCTAGCGGCGGCGGCGGAGATGAATGACCCCGGGCTCGGGCGCCACCGAATTTCGAGGTTTCGCAAAAAATTGTTATTATTTATATGTAATTAATATTAATTAATTATAACTACAGGTACGATCATCCCGCCGCCCGCCCCATCAACACTTGATCAACCCTTATACACATCGTTCTGCTGCCTGCCCCATCTGAACCGATCATGCTTTAGCGACCTCTTTATACAGGTATGATCGTCCCTCTGCCCTATCTGTCATCAAGCGACCTTTCTATACAGGTGCTACCATCCCACTCCCCCCTCCCCGTGCATATCTTATACCCAGATACAATCGCCCTTCCGCCTGCACCAACTGTAATCGAGCGACCCTTCTACGCAGGTACGATCATCCCCCAGCATGCGCACCTGCTCTCGCGTTGACGTCGAACATGCGCAGTGACATCACGTTCGCCGACGTGTTGCTGATGATCTCGAGGTCGTCGCCTGTTCTCTTGTCGACGGACACCATTAGCCCGTTGCCGCGGTTCGCGTAATACAGCCTGAGAATAAATGCGAGCAATGTACATGTAATGTAACTAAAATGTAATTTAAATGTATGTAAAAGTTTGTTCATCTTATCTTACAAGGCAAAAACAAGTTGCTGCGGTTCGCGTAATACAGCCGGAGAACCGCCGAAAAAAACTCAAGCAATGTGATGCAATGTAGCAGGGATTGTGCATCTTACATGGCAAAAACAAAACGAAACAAGTAAGCAAATCTTACAAGGAAAAAAACAAGTTGCCAGGGTTCGCATAATACAGCCTGAGAACCGCCGCAAAAACCTCAAGCAATGCAATGTAGCGGGGTTTGTACATCTTACAAGGCAAAAACAAAACGAAACAAGTAAACAAACCTTACACGACAAAAACAAGTTTCTGCAGTTCGTGTAATACGGCCTGAGAACCGCCGGGAAAAATACGAAAAGATGTAGTGGAGTAAGTTGAACACCTAAGGATAGGGGGCTGTTGTGAATGCGATCCAGTTACCTGTCCTGCCTGATGGTGAGAGCGCAGGGGAAGTTGAGAGGCGACACGGACAGTATTCGGATGTCATCGCCATGCAGGTTGCAGTGGTGGATGCTGTGATCCTGCATGTTCGCCCAGTAGACGCGCCCCGCAGCGTAGTCCACAGTGATGCCTGCACGCGAGAGAGAGAGAGAGAGAGAGAGAACGAACCATGAACAACCGCGTTAGTGAACAATGTTAACATGTTCGCCCAGTAGACG